AGTCTTGAGCATTGCTTCTTTCAGAAATAAACAGCCTTTGGATAACAAGATAATATGATTGGACAAGTGAGCCACACGAAATAGGTTCGAAAAAATGGGTTGACAATATCATCATAAGTGTCCGTTTTAAAAACATAGAATTAAACTCAGTTCTTAGAAAGCAAGAGAAAGCGAAACTTCTTGGATTTCATGATTTGTTTGGGCAAAAAGTTGATTGCGACCCGTGTGTCCAATGGATTTTCAAAGCACGTCCATCAAAGAGAAGCAGGAGGAAGTGATCAGCCATTTTTAAGAAATAGGAGCACTGATAGCGATTGCTCAATACAAAATCAACACCAAGGATCGGACAATAGGCCACTGAACTTCCAGCTGGAAAAACGAACTAAACAAAAACTTACGGCGTGTTTGTAAGCTGACACAAGAGATTTGCAAATATAACAAGCCACGCAGGTAAGGAATGCGGAGACTTGTCATCTATATGTATTCATGCAGTGATGTGGTTTTAAGGTCACGCCGAGCCAATCATCTTGCAGTGACACATTGAATCGCCAGTTTACCAACCCCTCTGAAGTTGCCATTCTGCCCTTACGGCTACTAACAAAGATGGGTTACCTTACCGACGGCTTATTTTTTACAAGGGTTTGTGAGGTCTCAACGACGGTATACCAATTTTAATTGATCTAGATGCCTGTTGAATTTGCAATGAAAAATACAGCCTTAACTAACCGGCAACATAAAGCATGACACGTCAGCATATTTTTCGAGATTTCCTGTTTTGTCTTAACTTTATTGTGATGCTGAAGTTTCCAGCAAGCAGTTAGTACTACTTTTGGCATAAAAAGTCTGTTTTACTACCTCCTTCATGTGAAAGTGTTTTATTTAATCAGTAGTCAAAGTGGCACTGATAATAATCCGCCCAATTAGTTTGCTTTAAAAAGTAAAACTTGTATGGAGAAAAGGCGGATTCTACAAGGTAACTGCTTTTAAGAATGACCAAATGGTTCCATTTCCTATTGTTGAAATGGATTATTGAAGCTTCTACGATGTTATTTTGTCATGCTCACCTTTCGCTCATGTGAACCACTATATTGTCTTGTGTCCCTCAGGTTGGATAAACGAAAACATTTCGTCCAGCTTGAAATACGATGGCAAAGAGACAAAAATTATGTTCATATAGGGTCTTAACATACTGCACGTCCACATTCATGCCTCCTTAACATAGTTGACTTATGGTAAAATTCGTGCGATGGCTGGTAATTGGTGACATTAAACTGGGCAAAGGGCGCAAGGGGTTGAGATGTCAGGCGATGAAGCGAATCCGCCATGTGTCAGAATACGAGACAGGATAATTCAATCGAAATCAAAAGAATTGGTAGTCAAAATGCCTGCAAAATAATATGTGAGACCATGAGGGCCGTGTCATTGCAGCCTTCAAACCCTAACCACCTTTATGCTACCCAACATTTCTACTACTCGCATAACAAACACCGCACATTTCAGCTTATTTTCGAAAGGCCATTTGTTTGATATTATATCAAGTACGCGTTGTAGAAAGTAATAATTTAGACTATGAAAAACACACCGGAAAATTAGGACAAAATTGGATATTGCAAAAGCGGAACGTAGATGAATCTATGGAAAGGTAAGTGTGCAAATCCTTTGCATTTCCAATGCGAAACTGTTAGAAGACATCGTTGGATTTGCCCCATTTTAAGCATTTTAGTGCCGGTTCCTGATACTGTGTGGTCAATGCGCGTACCATTGTAGCAGAGGAAGTGGGGGAGCTAGCTAATGTGAACGCGGCAAACAGTCAAAAATGCGAAAGTGGCTCGATTTTGCTTACCTTTATTTGCGCTTATCAATCCATAAAGGTGTTGTAACAAAGCATTGTGCCAGACTAATCATATTTGGCCAAAAACAAGTGTCACATGCATACCTGGTCCTTCATGTTTTAACTTCATTAGAACCAGTGAATTGGTAACAGCAGTTTGATGCATGCTGAAGTGATATTACATTTCTGAATCATGCAGCATGACTTACTGAAGGAAGGTGAATATTCTATGTTTAATCAGAAGACGTCAAATCGTTTGTAACACTCGTCTTGCTAGTTGGAATTTTCAACTTTAAGCCAACTATGATTGATAGACTCACAATGGACTATGATTGTGGAGGATGTGGGATAGATACTACATTTCCTATGCAACCGTGCTAATAAGTTGGGCGTTACCTATACGCATCAAATCTGTGATCGCCGCTTGAAGAGGACCTGTTCCAAATTACAAAATAAGTCTTTGTAGAGAATGGAAATTAAGTTTACTTCTTCAGCTTTAACAGATCGCGTATATTTAAGAAGACGCTAGTTTCTTGTCCATCATTTGCCATCGTTTTCTTGGCCTCGCTAAACTAAAACCAGACGCATGTGCATCCATAACTCGCGTCAACACTGAGGCATTCACTGCCTAGGAATTTCGAATGATTAGTGGACTGTCTCCGAATTGTTGGATTCAACTCCGTGGGATGATATCCCAGCAATGATTCATGCTGAATCACCACATTTTGCAAAGCGAATCATCACAGGGCATACAGAGACTGTACCACTATATTTCAGCTTCGAGTGTGAGAAGGAAGTTTGTGAAATATTGTCCTTTCTTGTTATTTCTTAAGCTGTGGACTTTTAGAGTCATCGCCATATTAGGGATGATTTTATGTCAGCTGGCAATTTTTGGGAGTTCAAATGTCTATAGAGTAGGAGAAGCTTTGTTATGTTTCTCTCGCCATGAATCTGCATTCTTATCCTCATGATGGTGTACAGATTGGTAGGGTGCAGACACACTGTGTGTTGGAGCAGTGTCGCGTAGTTCTCACAAACGAACCCACAGGCCACACAAAGGCACAACTCCTCGCGACGTCGATTTCGTTCTTCCCTTAATGTCGTCTGATGTGCTCTTCTCTGATGACCCTCCAACGGGGAGCTTCGGGTGAACCGACACGAGCATTGTACACATGCGTATGGACGCACATCTGTTTGCCCATCGCGTTGCAGCATGGGAATGGAATAAGGGGTAAAATTAGGCACAATGAAATTTTGCTGAGTAACACTGCACACGAATAAACGAAAGAAGGTTGAAGTGCAGACTTGCTAGTGTGCTTACGATTGTGACGCTGTGAACTTCTACTACATCAATCGCAAGGATCGAATCCCTTGGAAAGGCAAACAGCTGCATATAGGCTAACCGACCCAACATCAGAGAGCGTTGTGATTGGTGTATGTGATGCAAACCGAGGCAGTCAAAGCATCCAGGGAGCAAGTAGTGTATTTCTATTTCACATTAATCAGTGTTTCCCTCTTCATCAGTCTTTACTACCCACGAATATGTAAGTTGAATCGCAGATGCCCCTAACAACTAATATGCTTGCATTATGACATCTTGTTTGTACTGACAAATATTTAGTGATAAGGGAGTTTGTGCAGCTGATTTGTGGCAAAGTTGGCCGTTAATTTCTTGTACAATATTTGAGAGAGGTTGCGAGTCGGCCATTAGCGATGCAGCTATGCTACGTTACACTCCTCCTTGATGTAGTGGTAAGCCGCACCAGAGTAAAGAAAGGATCTTCCTTCCTTTCACAAGGCATGTGTAGTCAGATATAGTGTAAAAAGGTATTTTTTTCGCTTCCATCTGAGAAAAAGTGTTCCATGACATTTACGAAGGTAAAAGAAATCTAATAGACATAAAGTCAATCTTTTAAACTAAGCAAAAATGATGAACATGCTTGTAAACATATCGAACCTCAAGAACCACTCTACACTGGCATAATTGAATTCCTTCTGTAGTTTACTGGTGAGTAGTGACTCAATATGGTTGTCGCTCACTCCAGCGTAGAGTCGTAGCATCACTATGAAGAGTACTCTGTTTAAACAGCTTTGAGGCTATAGCTGTAATGTTAGACGAGGCTTTGCAGAGGCAGTGATCGTTCTGTGCAGTGCTTTTGTTGCTTAGGCTTAGCTAACCGTGGTCTAGTGAGTGGGTCCAATGTTGAACCTGGCCTTGTAGAAGTAGCGATGAGTCTATGAAATGATGCCATTACAAGGATGCTGCAAGAAGGACATCTTCTGACGACAGGAAGTGAATCCTTGCCATACGGTTTGCTGAGAGAATGGAGCTGTGATCTCACCAAAGTTGTCAAGGCGCATGATTGGTGTTGGCATCAACTGCCTCCTCCTCTCGTAGGACAGGTCGATGCTTGACTTAGAGAGTTGGGTAACTGATTACTTAGTTATTATTCTCGTAAAATACATCAAGTCATTCTTAAATATTCAATAACTAGGGGCACTCACTACATGGTGCAATTGGCAGTCAATCAAGGTGAGGCAGATTTCCCAACCTCAAAGTCTCTTTTGCTCTCATAGTGGTCTGCCAATAAACGTTATGCGTAGTTGCCATTGCCATCATCACCATCGTTCAGCAATGTCGTGTGCCAAGTGCGATAGGCAAACCGAGGTCGGAGAAGGCTAGGAAGTCCTCTGAAAAGGTTTCTATAATCCGCAACCTACCATGCCATACTCACCAAAAGGCAAACAACTTTGATAGACTTTGGTCATTTCCGGCTACTTTTCCTGGAACGAGGTGACAGGTTCACCCTAGCAGAAAGTCAAGAAGGCGAGTTCCAATGACTTCTCAAGCATGAACTGTGTTTCAGGCTAAGCACACCTATATTACAAATGTGTGGTAAAAGCCATTAAATGCGGAGAATGTCTTTACTGGCAGACGCGTCCGATTGCTAGCACCACTGGGTATCGTCTACTGCGTGTTGGTGGATGTGACGTGCTCCGATCCCACTGGAGCTTTATGGGATGCGTAATTGGTCCAGAGTTGCATACGTAGGTCAAAAGTAGCACGTTCGCCTGAGTGGTCGACATCCTTAATCCGAGCCAGGTGAGCGGATGTGGGTGTAAAGTGTGTCCAAAGGCGCACCTTGTGCTGTCTTGTGTCACTTACTCAGTAAAATCACGTTCTTTGTAGTCCTTATCTATTGTGGCATTGCTGTAATGAATTACAGACTAAACATGCATCATGTAGTCAGTGGTCATGTACACACACATGAAGGATTGGCAACTGAGGCAATCTGTCTTACTGACACAAAGTGTGGGCATGGAACTTGGAATTGTGAAATGGTTTTTAGTTGTCACTTCACTTCTCGACACTTATTATTCGATAGCCGACATCTGTCAGCCAGAGCAGACAATTTGTACTGCTTCATGCTCACGGCGCCACCCACCGGAGCTACTGGCGAGAGATGCTTTAGCAACTCGACCAACTCAATCCAATAGGCGGTGGTCGTAAGCTCAATGTGAGGTGTTGCCTGGAAGTGGAGCGTCGTGGAGTAGGAGAGAAATAGAGTTGGTAATGCATGGTGCATCACGTGCGAATAGTCAGCTGTCCTCCTTCCTCCTTGTTTCCATATACACATTCTGCATGTCTGTGAATCCATTCATCTACATGACCACTTGATGCCAAGCCACGTTAGGAAGAATCAGTTGGTGCATTGCTTGCCTTGTGGGAGCCTTTGCACCCATCCAACATTGCATGAAGGAGCACATTTTCGCCGTTGTCATTTGTCTGTCTTTCAATCAGACAGAGAGGAGAGAGTGATGTGCTTGACAGTGGAAGTGTTCTACCTGCAAAGACCTTAAGCACCAACGACGCAAACTTGATGGGCGAAGTTAAAGTTCGTGCTGCTCATGAATGGGACTGTGATGTCGAT